AGGGGGAATGTTCTAATATTAAATAGTTATATCTTATGATTTTTAAAAAAATATTTAGTATATCAAAGAAAATGTACATTTTTTGTAAAAAGCAAAATATTGGACCGTTAGAGATAATTTTTGGAATAAAAATAGTAACTTTTGGGATTCATGTCACGCTCTCGGAGAGCGCGACCGGCGCTCAACCGAGTGAACCCGGTTAAGCAAGAACACTTCCTACCAAAACTAACACATGTTTTAAAGGGAGTTCATAACATTGTTAATTAACCAATAATGAGATCATATAAAATACCAAGTCGTTTTCATTAGTTACTTCATTTTTAATGTCTCAAATACAAGCATTTTCACAATCTGAGGTGGAATAAGTGTCTCAAACACAACATAACTCATTTGACTTTCCGAGCACCCATATACAACCCACACTATGTCTACGGAGCCTCTAATAGATACAAAAGAGTATTACAAAAGTGCCGGCAACAAGGTCCCGGCTATACCTCAAGTACAATACATAAGAGACAAAAGATGTATGACCCCGAAATGAAATGGGGCTCACCAAGACTGCTGGGAGGAGGGTGTATGGCTATCGCTGATCAACACTGCCAGTTATGGAACCACCTGCATCCATTTAAGACGCAGCGCCCCCGGCAAAAGGGACGTTAGTACCGTCGAATGGTACTAGTATGTATAACTAAACACCGTCTCATTAGAATGAAAAATAATATAAGTAGGAACAATCATAATATCATTTAAGGCATTGAGCATCAACCAAACATCAAATAAGGGATGAGATAAGTTTCAATCAAATTTCCATATTATAAGTCGGGGAAGCCTTTAGTACCAATGTACCATTATTCACCATTTCGGTTTCAATTTCCAATACAGTCACCACCATCTGTGCGGCATGGCGTCCGATCACGACCCGATCGCCTAGGCCATCTCATATGAGACATCAACCACAATTACAATTTCGATTACAATTTTCCGATACAGTCACCACCATGTGCACGGCGTGGCGTTCGATCACGACCCGATCGCCTAGACCATCTCATATGAGACATCAACCACAATTATAATTTTTCGATACAGTCACCACCATGTGCACGGCGTGGCGTCCGATCACGACCCAATCGGCTAGGCCGTCTCTTTTGAGACATCAACCCCAATCACAATTTCAATTTCAATTTCCAGTTTCAATTTCCAGCACCGTCACCATCATGTGTACAGCATGGCGTCGATCATGGACCGATCGGCTAGGTCGTCCCACCCGAGACATTACCACTTTCTATCAATTATCTCGCTTTATTCTTCTTCATTTTTTTTCAATTCATCGGCACGAATGGCCACAATTGTCATATCATATTTGGCATTTGTCCTATTCATAATTCATGTTCTTTTCCACATTCCAACATTTTTATCATCATTAACAACAACAAGGCTTTTCATTCAAGACTTTGATTACATATATGAGCAATTTAGAATCTAAGGCATGTAGAGACTTTTCACACAATTTGGCATAACAATCTTTATTTGAATTTGACTTGAATTCTAGGCATTTTTAGCACATATTTCATATTTTGAACACATCCTCAAATGATAAGATAACATGATGAAAGCATTGGGATACACATTGCACATATACTTTTCAACGCAAGCACATTCGGAATAGCAATTTCTATAACGATCAATTTGGGACATACACGGATTACATGAACACCATGGGATTCAATTCTAAGAAGAGGGGGTTTTAGCCATACATACCTCAATAGAGCTTCCTTAAATTCTACTATATTCCAGAACTCTTAGCAACTTCAATCTATTTTAGAAATATAACAAGTTGAACCAAAAATTAGGAGGAAAAAATCAGAAGATCATGATTGACAGAATTCAAATGGAAGTTAGAGTGAAAGAAATCAGGCCGATGATTGCTCTTGGAAATCAGGAACACACAAAGAAAGAAGGGCATATCAAGAATTGAATCCAGCCTTCTTTGTTAACTGGATTCAGAGGCAACCTTGGGTCAAATCTCTTAGAATATTCCTTGCCTCAATCAATGGTCCATCTGCAACGGCTCTAACAAGAAGAAGAACTCAAGACCTACCTATATGAAGAACTGAAGGATAGAAGGAAAAGTCACGCAATTACATATACAAGTTTCTACAAGTTTCTAGTTCTTAGAACAAACATTCTATTATTTAGTTTACAAGTGTGACAAACGATAGAAAGAGTTAGAAAATAGTCAAGAAGTTGTGTAAAGCATTAAGATCCATTGTAACTGAACTTCGTTAGTGGTGAACGAAAGAAAAACCACAACCGCTGTAACGGTCATATATTGAAGATCTAAGAGAACCCTTATGACTCAACGGAACTGGATATAGGTATCATAACGGTACAGAACCAGTATAAAACTCCGAGCCTTTACTGTTTCTTTGTTTCTGCATATTTTGTTTCTGCCAATCTCTAAGCTTTAAAGGAAAAAGAGTCAACTATTAGTCACATTATCAACTGATTTTTAATTGGCCACAATTGACCCCTCCCCTCTTCTGTTTCATAGGGCACGATCAAATTCAAGCAAAAGGCATGCATGTGTAAGGGATAAGCATAAGTGGTTATATCTACTAATTCCTAAATGAAAAGCTAACATAATTGATTAGGAGCAGGACTCCTTACTTTAAGAGAACTCTATCCTAGATAAGGAAAGAGTTGGAGATTGAAGAAAACTAGAACTCTTCCACCAAGGAAGAGTAAAGCATCAGGTTTCTAGGTAATCTTAATCCTACTAACTCTATATATTTCAGTTTTATTTTCTTTTATAGGGGATGCATATACGCTGAACTAAAGTATGAATTGAAAGCAAAATAGCAAGCCATTTTGCAAGCAATTCCTGTGTATTTCAAAAGTGCGAACCCGAAGCTACATAAACGAAATAGAAGAACTAGTTCCATGTATTTGTCTTTTATTCTAGTTCAATTGTAGTAGGTATTTTTAGTTGTACCTTTCATCTTTCTTAGAAGCAAATTGTAATAGGTGCTTGAGTTGTATTGTTCAAATTGGAGTTAACTTGAAGCTGCCGCAACAGCCTGTGGCTAGTTGCTACAAGGGTTATAGGTATTCCTTAGTTTTACAAGAGTTTTGTAAACATTATTTTTTGGCTCAGAGTTGTAAACAAAAACTCATGTCATTCCCTATCGCTTTATCCTCACTGTTGTGAAAATGCAAGACGGGGGTGAATTATATTTTTCTTTTCCTTTTCGAGGTAGTCGGCTAATTTGCGTTCTAGTCAACTGGACTTTCAGGTATAATATAAAAGATAAATTAAAGAAAGTAAATGACACAGTATGTTTTTATACTGGTTCGGATTCAGAGTAAATCCTACGTCTAGTCCCCTTGGGCTGCAAGGGTGATCTCTTTCAAGTATGAAGTAGCTTAGTACAGATGAGTTGATGTTGTTATACACCAACAACTTTGGTTACTTTGTTCTTCTCACTATAATTGATACAATGCCTCACTAGTGCTCTTCTCTCTCTCTCTCTCTCTCTCTCTCTCTCTCTCTCTCTCTCTCTCTCTCTCTCTCTTCTCTTCTCTTCTTTGTTACACAGGAAATCTAAAGCAAACTTAAGTGTTTTGTTTGAAGTAGAATAAAGAGGTTGAAGTTGGTTTGATCAAAGTATATCTTTCCAAGGCTGGTGCAGTAGGTATTTATACTTCTCGAGGCCTTCAAGTCTTGTATGTCTTTTTGAGAGATTGCAAACCTATTGTTACACCCATATTTTCGTACGTGAGAGTTCATCATAAGTCAATTGATGTAAGCTCGGAAATGAGATCGTCTTTGAAAGTACATAAAGTAAGTTAATCATGTTACCTTGGAGGTTACAAATCTTTAAGATCATGTACAGCAAGTACAAAGAGGATTGAAAGACTTAGAAGCTAAACAAATTGAAGAAAAATAAGTTTCGTCGAAAGCCGATAAGTTTGGAATGTTATAACATGCACTTTGGGGTGAGACTAGGGTTCTTAAAGTGATAATGAGGTTATGTTATGACATATTTTAGTCTTATGATAGTCGTGTGTTACGTTTTGAAGCCAAGCGAGTTATGGAACAAAAGTTGGCAAAGGTCATCACAAGTTACATTCATAAATATGTTGAAAGCTAGGTCAAATATAGTGGAGCTTTTCTCCCAATATACTTGAAATTACGGGATGATCCAGATATCAAATTGAATATCTTTGGGTCTAGTTTCTAATGCATAACTATTTGTTGATACGACATAGTAGTAGAGATATATTTGCAGCTTCGCGAGAATGCGCAGACTGCATAAGTGACAAGTAAGTGTGTCACAAAGCTTGAGCAATATATTTCGTGTGTTATATAAGGTCTTTTTGGGACATATTATATACCAAATTGAAGGTCTTGGAATTTAGTTTCCAACTCTCTTAACTGTTCATTCATATGATATCCAGATAAAAAGATATAAGCGGAAGATGGGTCAATGCTAGGGTGCCAAGCTAGCACTTCTTTGACTTTTCAAAATTTGATATATATAGGTCTTAAGTCGTCTTTATTTTCATTTTTCCATAGAACACGACCAGAGAACATCCATAAACATATGCGTAAGCTCTATTCTAGGGTTTCAAAGAAGACTAACATCCCCGGTACGAAATCAAGAGGCGATAACATTAGAACGATCCCTACGATGTAAGTATCGCTATATTGTCTCTCTCTTTGTAGTTTGAGTTTTGGAAGGCACTTCATAGTTAATAAAATGAAACTTCTGTATTTAAGCTTTTAATTATCAAACAAGGTTGATAAATTCGTTTATTAATAGTTAGAACTCACGGGAAATGATCGGAAGATGTAAGTTCGATTTATTTCACTTTTAGTGGACTGTTTTGTAGTCCACTTGTGTTGGCCTATTGTG